GTGTATGCTTTTAGTTTTTATTTTCCAGACTGTGATGTTGAGTTTTTTTATTTAAAAAAGTAAATCACTGACTTTTTAATTAATTGTTGTAATAAGATGTTTCCTTAATGATTAGTAATTATAAACATATTAGCTGATCAACATGACTAGTTGCTTTTTTAATTATCTACTGCAAAGGAAAGGTGAACAATATAAAATAAACATGTTCCATTCTCACAGCTTTAAAAATGAAAATTCCAAAGCCCCAGAGTCACTTCTATCAAATATTTTATCTGTGATATGTATTTCTTTCTTAGGAAGTTTGGGCGTGCTGGCATGAGTTATTGTCATACTTGGAGAAGGCAAACAAGTGGCTAAATGAAGTAGAATTCAAACTGAAAACCATGGAAAATATTCCTGGGGGAGCTGAGGAAATCTCCGAGGTGCTTGATGTAAGTTGTCACTTAATCGAGATGTGAAGGAAATGTAAAATGTCACTTTAGATATTATTGAGATTCTAGAGTGTTAAAGCAGGAACCTAAACATCATATATCCAACTTCCTTATTTTCTCAAGAGGATTTGTAAAACCTGAAGAGCTATCAGAGAACAATGAGACTTGTCTCAGGTGGACTATAATTTTGGCCTTGTCCTATTCCGAGATGCTAACTGACAAAGCATTCTTGGTGAATCAGCAATGTGATGCATCTTCCAAAAAAAGTTTAAGCACACACAGTGCCAGAACAAAGGGTGTGATGATGCAGTTATCCTATTAAATAATCACATTGAAGGGCTTCACCCTCAACTTTATTGCTTTTCCATCCAAGATGGCTGCTTCACTGAGAAGCTATGTGTATGGGGGGAAAAGTATGATGGGCAAAGTGATTTCTTCTAGAGGTTGTACCTTTTTTTTTTTTAATTGGGGAAAGGAAACTCTGCTATTGAATTTCTACCTACATGTATTGTTCAGAGTCATGTCACTTAGCCATCACTAGCTATAAGAGAAGTTGAGAAATCGAGTATTTTATCTTTCCAGGTTTAAGAGTAGAGGACATCAAAGAAGGTGGCTGTGGATAACTTTTAAGTGCCCCAGTCCACAATCCTGCCACAAGCTCATGAAGATAGACATGCAGAAACATCATATTTTTAAGTAACAATGGTCTTTCATGTTTTATTATCCCAATTCAATATTGCTTTAAATTGTTTTAACTTAATGATATGTAAATAAGAAGATACTGAGCATTTTGTGTTAATTCAATATATTTAGAAAAAGAAGGGAAATAGTAATTATTGCAAATGTGTTTCAGTCACTTGAAAATTTGATGCAACATTCAGAGGATAACCCGAATCAGATTCGCATATTGGCACAGACCCTAACAGATGGTGGAGTCATGGATGAACTGATCAATGAGGAACTTGAGACATTTAATTCCCGTTGGAGAGAGCTGCATGAAGAGGTATGACGATAAGAGTGAAAAATCTTTTTAAACTGATTTGCATAAATACCTAACAAATACTTTTAGGTTTCTCAGATAAAAGAAAGAATACTTTATTTTTTTATTTTATTTTTTTAAAGATTTTATTTATTTATTTGACAGAGAGACAGCAAGAGAGGGAACACAGGCAGGGGGAGTGGGAGAGGGAGAAGCAGGCTTCCCACTGAGCAGGGAGCCCGATGCGGGGCTCGATCCCAGGACTCTGGGATAATGACTTGAGCCGAAGGCAGACACTTAATGACTGAGCCACCCAGGTGCCCTGTAAAGAAAGAATACTTTAAATATTGGCTCGGCTTCCAGGTTTTAGGAATTGTCATGTGCCAGACATGGGTAAATCATTTACATGTGTCTTCTATCATTTTGTCTTACAAAAACATTATAAAGGGTGGGTTTTAACAGGAAATGGAGACAGACCAAATACAGTAATATGCTCAAGTCCACAAGCTGTAAATAGTTAGATTAACTATTCAAAATCAGATCTTCTCTGATCACAGGATTCTTGTCCCTACCCAAGATTAACCAATATGTGTAGGTATCCTCAACTCTTTCTCCCTCTTTCCCTTTCTCTCTCCACCTTTTTCTTTCTCTCTTTTTCAAAGATTTCAAAAGATTTATTTATTTATTTGAGAGAGAGAGAACAGGAGAACACAAGTAGGGAGGAGGGGCAGAGGGAGAGCGAGAAGCAGACCCCCCACCCACCCCCAGCTGAGCAGGGAGCTGACTGTGGGGCTCGATCCCAGGACCCCGGGATCATGACCTGAGCCAAAGGCAGAGGCTTAACCGACTGAGCCACCCAGGCGCCCCCCCCCACCTTTCTCAACACATGCACACACATGTTACGGTTATATGCAATCTGTTAGTCATATGTGTGATTCTCTTAGTACCCTAGATGTTGTTTATTCCTCCCAAGTAATACTAAAGAGCTTAAATTTATATATAACAGAAGGATGTTCATCTGTAAGAATTATACTATGTGTTTTCTAAATGTTTTCAATCAAAATTAAGAGAAAATAACATATTACTCCCAAAGATTGTTTTGCATATACTCTCCTAAATCAAGAATGGATTACTTGTCAAAAAGAACAAATAGATTATAATGAAGTTTAGTTTTGTACCCATTTACTACATGTGTCTGTAACATGTGAGACAGGGTTCGAAGGTTAGGTAGTAAGTGGGAAAATTTCTTCTCCTTCATTACTCATAGACATTGAGTAGTTAAGCAAAAATTCACGGATTTCTTAGTGTGTTCAGAACATAAAAACAAATAATGTCATTATAAGATGCAAAAAGTTGTGTTAAAAGTTATTCTGGAGGGGAGGGGGTAGGGGGATGGGTTAGCCTGGTGATGGGTATTAAAGAGGGCACGTACTGAATGGAGTACTGGGTGTTATGCACAAACAATGAATCATGGAACACTACATCAAAAACTAATGATGTATGGTGATTAACATAACATAATAAAATAAAATTCTAAAAAAGTTATTACAGAAGATTAGAGAACAAAGAAAAAGGGCACAGATCTGTGTGGATCAGCACAAGAAGGCATTTGGGGTAGCTTTTCTAGAGAAAATTCATAGTGAATGACATTGTATATTTTTTTAAGATTTAAAACATTTCTTTTTAAATATTTATTTATTTGACACAGAGAGAAGAGAGTGAGAGAGGGAACACAAGCAGGGGAAGTGGGAGAGGGAGAAGCAGGCTTCCCGCCGAGCAGGGAGCCCGATGCTGGGCTCGATCCCAGGACCCCGAGACCATGACCTGAACCGAAGGCAGAGGCTTAACGACTGAGCCACCCAGGCACCCCAGATTTAAAACATTTTTAAATGTAATCTCTACACCCAGTATGGGGCTCGAACTCACAGCCGTGAGGTCAACAGCTGCATGCTCTACTGACTGAGCCAGAGGGCAGCCCTGTGAACATTTTAAAATCAGAATAGGAGATAGCCAAATGGACGGGTGTAGGAGGGCGATCCCAGACAGGTAGATGTACACATGCAAAGGATTGGAAGCAGGAGGCTGGTTATCAATGCACATCTGCAAACCATTTGGTTTTGCCTGAGTGTAAGGTACAGGTCCGGGAGTACCTGAGGGTAGACCTGAACAAGTAGGCATCAGTAAGTTTGCTGAGGTAGACCAATGCTTCTCAAACAGCCTGGTCTATAACCATGCACTCAGGGAACCACTGAAGGGTTTAGAATGTCAGCAGGAAGGGCTACCTGGGTGGTGCAGTCGGTTGAGCATCTGACTCTTGGTTTTGGCTCAGGTCATGATCTCAGGGTTGTGAGATCGAGCCCCCAGTTGGGCTCGGCACTCAGTGTGGAATCTGCTTGAGATTCTCTCTCCCTCTCCCCGTACCCCTCCTGCTCGTGCTCTCTCTCTCTAAGTAAATAAATATTTTAAAAGAATGTAAGGGGGGAAGGAGAAGAGAGGTGTCACAATCAGATTATATTACCTCTGCAGTGACTGTGGAGAGTAGATGGTATAAGAGAAAGGGAGACTGCGGGTAGTGAGACCAAGGAAGAAGTGGTATTTTTAGGTCAGTTGAAGACAAGGGTGGTGGTGATAGGTATAGTGGAAATGAGAAATCTAGGAGAGCATCTAGGTTTCTGATTCAGGTGACTGCATAGCTGTTATTTCTCATAAACAAGATTGAGAAAATGAGAAAAAAAGCAAGTTTGGAGGTGAAAAATCACATGTCACTTTTTATCTCCATTGATCCTGAAGTGCCTGCTTAAGTTTGATACCAACCAAAAGCAATCCCTGAGTCAAGGACTTAGGTGCTATTAGTTAATTTGAGGGATAATAACAAGAAGGACAAGTGAGGGACTGGGGAGAGTGGGGAACGAAAGCTTGGACGGTTGATAAAGGGTACTTTTATCAGTGAGTTTCCACTGTGAGCTACAGGTCTAGTCCTACTAGGAGCTTTAAAGAAATCATGTACTACACCAGTATCACAGAGCATGCTCAGAATTGTCCCACTGAGCTTATGGAAACTGGAGTGTTTATCCACCAATTTCCCTCTGTTTTTGTTTGAAGATTGTCCTCGGGTGCATAAAATCCTGCCCTTCTGGGCTATCGAGGGCAGTCCAATTAAGAAATGTGGGTGCTTCTGTGAATTGTACAAGACTGATGAATCACGGATCTGTACTTCTGAAACAAATAATGCAATATATGTTAAGAAAAAAAAAAGAAGAAGATAGCAGGAGGGGAAGAATGAAGGGGAGTAAGTCGGAGGGGGAGAGGAACCATTAGAGAAGATGGACTCTGAAAAACAAACTGAGGGTTCTAGAGGGGAGGGGGGTGGGGGGATGGGTTAGCCTGGTGATGGGTATTAAGGAGGGCACGTTCTGCGTGGAGCACTGGGTGTTATGCACAAACAATCATGGAACACTACATCAAAAACTAACGATGTAATGTATGGTGATTAACATAACAATAAAAGATTATTTTAAAAAAAAGAAAAAGAAATGTGGGTGCTTGAGGTGGGAATGTAGCAGTGCTTGCAGAAACTCCACCATAGCTTTAGGTGAACTCAGAGCCATTGAGGTTAAGGGGCTATGTGGTAGGGTATCAACAAGGTCTACTAGAGTACTTAGGGAGTGTCTAGCAAGGATATTCCATAATTCAGGAAAAGAGATACACAGCCCTGAAGTCAGTGATCCAGACCAGTTGTACAGATGTGGTATTTACCAGGTCACATGCTAGTTAAAACTGTAAAGTTCATGAAATCACCCCAGGTAAGCCAAAAGAAAATGAATCACGGACAGAATTTAGTGATTATACACAAAATCAAGATTTAGACAGGGACACCTGGGTAGCTCAGTCAGTTAAGCATCTGACTTCGGCTCAGGTCATGATCTCAGGGTCCTGGGATTGAGACCCACGTCAGACTCCGTGCTCAGCACAGAATCTGCTTGTCCCTCTGTCCTCTCTCTCTCTCTCATAAATAAATAAAATCTTTAAAAAAATCAAGAGTTAGGCAGAGGAAATAGTATTTCCAAAGGAAATGAGAATAAATGGTCACAGAGGTATGAGGAGACGCAAGTTAAAAGCAGGGTGCTTAGGAGGTAGCAGTGTATAAAGAGAAGTCATGAAAAAAAAAAGTCAGTTACAATAAAGAGGCCTGGTAAGATGAAAACAGAATTGGGCAAAAAGGACATCTTATAACATTTACCAGAACGGTTTTGACGGAGTTTCCCTGGGGATAGAGAGAACAGTGCTGGGGAATTACAGAAGGAAGTAGGGAAGAGGAAGGAGGAGAGCAAAGTTTGCACTGTGCTTGTAAGGAGCTTGGTTTTGAAGAGAAAGAATGATCGTAAGAGGGATGGTAGCTAGGAGGGTACGTAGGAAACCGTTTTTTATTTAAGTGGGGGAGAAGTTTGATCATGTTTGTAAATTGGAAAGAAGTGTGGAGTAGGAGAGCCTACCCCCACCCAAGATCCCAAAGACGAGTAGGTGACCGTAGGGCAGATAGATGTGGAGGTACCTGCAGGGATCCTCCAAACAGTTCTGAATCATGCCACTGTCTTTCCTTAATACTTTAGTCACCCTTTTCCCTTATCACTGTGAGGGACTGGGGATTGGAAAAGGAGATTCCAAACAGTCCCTTGGCTTCTCACTCCTTTTTTAAAATTTTTTTATTGTTATGTTAATCACCATACATTACATCATTAGTTTTTGATGCAGTGTTCCATGATTCATTGTTTG